ATGTTTTGAAATAAAGCCATGGAAGTATGATGTCCCGGCATCTATTGTGGTTGTAATCCCTTAACGCCTATGTTAATCGATATGATGTTATTTTCAGTCCTCCTATTGTCTAACATGTACTTACTATGTAGTAAACCGGACAGTCACAATACTACAACATATAATATTATTAAGAACCTATATTATATGACTACGTTACCTTACACCATCGTCGTCAATGAAATCCAACGGTCAAGTGTTACGAATTTATCAAAGAAAGACGAGTCTCTCTACTTCAAACAATAGGTGCGTCAGACAGAAGGCCAACAACGGGGAAAACTTACGTGGCTTATGTGTGATCGCGCGGGACGACCATTCCCTCAAATAACGTGAGTGCGTACGGCAGCCGACTTCAGAAACGCAACACAAGGTCACACTGACAACCGGTTTCTGCGTCCTCTGAACTCAGCTTTGGTCAGCACTAAGCAGACCTGCACAAGAACCACAGTCGAACTCACACATCCCCGGAAATTCGACGTCGTCGGTGTACCTCTGTCAACCAGTGAGAAGAGATTTCAAGTTGTAAGTGTGAAGTCCAACCCTGCGAGATGTCACTGATGGTTCGAAGAAGTTTTGGCTGTGGTTCTACACAACAATGTCAAGTCCTAAACTGGAAATAATACCGCGCGGGTAATAGGTTACTCACAAATAAATTTACGGTCTTCTCCCTAATTCCTAGTATAAAGTAAGTTTAGTTTCGTTCGTTCTAGTAGAATTAAAGAGACTGGTTTTTATATTTTTCGACTCGTTTGGTACTAAACTTCCGTAAAGAACTTTCCTTTACTAGAGATTATAGGACAAAAGAATCCGACCTAACATTACTCAACCTAGTCTCTTCCATTAGGCGAACGAGGACGACGAACCTGACGAAGATGACTCGTATAAGTTAGAAGAGACACAAGGGGCAGAAACACGGTCCCGTGTAAAACGTGGGTGTGTCGTGTGTGTGTGTGTGTGGTGTGGTGTGTGTGTGTGTGGTGTGTTGTGTGCTGTGTGGGTGTGTGCTGTGTGTGTGTGGGTGGTGTGTGTGTGTGTGTGGTGTGTGTGTGTGTGTGTGTGTGTGTGTGGTGTGTGTGGGTGTGTTGTGGTGTGGTGTGTGTGTGTGTGTGTGAGTGTGTGTTGTGTGTGGTGTGTGTGTCGTGGCTGTCGTGTGTGTGTGTGTGCTGTGTGTGTGTGTGTGTGGTGTGTGTGTGTGGCTGTGGCTAGGTTTGATCACTCATCCTCCACTATTGCGAGTACGCAGTGTCTTACGTTATTTTGGGAATGTTCACTATATGTCGTAAATAATTGTTAGGACGCTTATTTACATTTTAGTAGACCGTCTTTACGTTTAAACAAGATAACAAAAATAGGAAGGGAGAGAACATTAACCACAAAACAACACAACAGTCCAAAATTATAGTGGTTTTTATTATATTATCGCGGCTAGAATGAATTTACAAAAAACTAAGAGTTTTCGTAAGAGATTTCTAATCTTTTATCTCGACTTCAACTTCAGAAGGGACATCCCGGGCACGCACGACGTCACCCCGGAGTACCGGTTGTCTACTCCGACGCGAAGATAAATTGGGACGAACAGACTTTTCCCTGGAATCTCGTCTCGAGAAGGTTGCTACCGACGTGACTGGCCCCCGTGCATCATAAATCTTCATATTTATGATAATGAAAATAAAAATCAATAAACATAACTTTAATTAGTAAGTTATAATGTCTACGTATATAAAGTATTAAAGGTAAAAAGTTTTATTTTTTTTTACATGCGTTTTCAATAATTTTTTTTTACTAAACGTGCGTCGGTAGTCGAGATACACCATGTCGTTACCGTAAATTGACCGCTCCGGTTAGTTTTGCCCAGGTCGCTGGGACTCAAACTACTTTCCGACTGTATCTCCAGTTCAATCGACCTTAGAACGGTCGCGGGAAACCTGTATGTCTCGTTAAATAACAATTAGTAACCAAATAAGACCGACTGGACTCACCCGAGCTATCCTGTACCATAGCAGGACGTCCTGATCCGACAAAAGTCCCTTCGCCGTCAGTTTTCCGGGGACACGAGAATGAATGAATCGTCCTTTTTCGTCTGACTGTCTCAATCTCTGATCAGACCCCTTTCACCCCTTACAATGCGATTTCTCTGTCTACAAAGTGTAAGAGTTTTCCTCGAGTTTCTCTCTGTTATACCCTTGAAACGTAAGTAGCTCGACCTGTGGTTTTTTACAAGTAATACTAATAGAACGAGTCGTATTGACGACCTACAAACCCTTCGTAGTCAAAAATATAAATTTTCCCCGGGATAGTACGAAAAACCCAAAAGGGAAAAGGGACATCGAACACATAGGTTCAACAAAGACGTACCGTGTACCAGACGTTTTCATGTTAGGGACACCGGAGAAGTGATGACGTAGTGAAATATTACTTCGGTAAAAAGTGTTTTATTATCAAATGTAGAACTGTACAATGTAAACAATCGACTGAAATACAATAAGATAAAAATAGTAAGTAATACAATAAAAAAACTAAATAGCCACATCGTCCAGGGTCCTGTCCGTTAAATACTTGAAGAAGCTATTGTCCACCTTATGCAGGAAGTGTGGCAGCAAATTACGTGGCAACTGAGTTGGTCTTCGATTTCTTCATTCCAGATCGCCATGATGTAAAATAAATGATTGCGTCCAGGTGAGATGAAAATAAAAAATAATAGCCGTCTGTGTGTACCTTCTTCACTTCCGTTTCGCTTCTCATGCACTGATTCGCTAAGCTGAACAGCCAATCAGATTGATTTCTTTTGCCGACACACCAATCTGAGTAGGGCGACACGACGCTTATCGACGGCCCGGCATCTATCGATGGCTTGGTGTGTAGGGGCCTTGAAGTGAAACCTCAGCAGTTAATGAGCAAACATCTGATGTGTTTTGATGTTTTTTCCTTTCAGAGAACCAGGAGCCCTCGCCGCCGACTAGGGCCCAGATCAAATATGGTGAGATGAAATGTGACGCACGCACTCACAATCTATGTTTTGGAAATAAACCGCAACCTGAAACTCCTCCATGAGTATTTCTATGTCAGCAGTTCTGATTTACTTAAACACTTTGAGTAGTTGATCTCTTTTTTTAAGTTTATGTTGGAAATCAAGCTGACCAGACATGAATGAGCTTTTGTTGATTCGATATATAAGATATCATTCTATCATATACCAGTTTGTACTGTAAAGTCTGAACTTCGGTTCAATAACCGACCTCAACATCAGACTTATCATTTTAAGGCAGAGCTCGCAAGAAAAAAGCCATTTTCAAACCCTATTTACCCACAGGGGGAAACTATTGAGACCACCAGGGGTCATGTGGAGGAGGTCATTATTAAAAAGGGTGAAATCCTCGTGCCCTAGAGATGACTAAACAAAGAGAACAGAAACAAAAAGAGTTGGATTTGTTGTGTAAACTGATGAAATCTTATAATCCATTATTGGATATTCATATGGCTTTCAAAATAAAAGTATTGATTTATAAGTATTATTTGTGTAGTGTATATGTAATATATAATGCTGCATGATAGAATAAAGAAAATGCTCTATTATCCTGTATGCTCAGTACAATGCTGTGGCTCTATGGTTTTGAATACATTATTTTCCACAATAGAAGCATGCAGACATTGGTCATATCATCAGCCTCAGCTGTACTTTGTGTTTAGTGCTTATCATCTGATCAAGTTCAAGCTAATATGTGTAGATTGGTGAACATGATGTGAACATGCTAGACATCTCCATGTGAGCATGTTTGCACGCTGACAATAAGTCCAAGCTCACAGAGCAGCTGGCTTTGATTCTCCAAACTCTACTACTTCCTCTCATTAAGTATGCAACACTGTTCAGGCCGGTCTGTTCTGTTTATTCATATACTTTGCCTGTATTGATCTCATACAGTTCAACACTTCAATAACTGATCAAAACTCTCATCCTCTTCCTGATTTAAAAAATAGTTAAACACAATTCCCTTCACCTATATGTTTGAAGTGAACTCATGTGTTGGTGTTAGAAACAGCACATTAAGCTGAAGGATCAACAGGACTTCTGCAGTTCCCTGATAGCAAAGTTCTTTGTTAATCCTTCTTCCTGTTTCTCTGCAGTTCTGTTCCACAACTGTATCCCCTTTATTGGATTTGGTTTCCTTGATAATGCCATCATGATCGCAGCAGTAAGTGCCTTTTTATTTACACAATGATGAAGCTTCTTTTTGACTGTAATGAATTGCCTTTATGATGAACAAATGCAAGTCTCCGTCAATGATGTATCTTCTTCTGTCTTCCTGTATTCTTTCTCAAACTCTGACTCTGATGAGACCCCTCCTCACTCTCTCCTCTCCACCAGGGAACACAGATTGAACTCTCTATCGGAGTCACTCTCGGGATCTCCACCATGGCTGGTGAGAACATGTAGAGAATCTGTAGTCGGGTCACCGTGAAATGAAAATGGACTTTATTATCTTGTTTTAATATAGTTTGCTGTACCTAGCAGACTCATCCTTTAGGCTACCCTTCATGTATTGGTTTAGGTGGGTAAAGTTACAAAGCATCAGTTGTAAATGTATGAACTATTCAGATCTGTGTCAAACTGAGCCCAATTCAGTTCATTTGTGATAGGTGTTTTACATTTACAGATGACACATTTAGACACAGAAGGTCTATCTATCACACAAGATGCACTGTGGCTCCATCATTCAGGCTGGAAGTCACAGTATATTCTAGAAGCAATGCCTCCTCTTCCATCAGCCATCACTAAAGCCATGTTTCTACTTCTGAAGCCTGGCTGATGCCACCAGTTGTATAAAGTTGCACTGAAGAAGCTCTCCTGGGCACCGCAGCAGTTTCTTGCATGGCTGCTGTTCTGGGTCTCAGGTCAGCTCTTTATTAGGCTGTGAAAATCATAAAGGCTCTGGTGCTCATCTTCTCCCTTTTGCTCAACACTAGATTATTCTGTTTCCATGGATACTTGGCTCCAATTTCCTCTGCAAAGTGCAAATGGGGAAACAAGGCTCTAGATAAATAGCCCGTCTTTATCCATCCAGGCGCTGCTTCCTATTTGTGTCATCATCATCATCCAGCCTGCAGTGATGCTCAACGACTGATTTGAGAGCAGACCTTTTCTAGCTTTGAACTCTGACTCCTGTGTCATCATCAGCACTTTACTGCCATGTGCAATCATTCAGAGGTGCTGGTGAAATGAGGCTGTGAGATTGTATCGCTCTTTCACTTTTCTATCTATCTCACTTCTTTGAGGGAAACTTGGACTGAAAACTTCCATCCGGAGCATTATAGTTCCTGCTGGAAACTCTGCTAGCATCCAGCGCTAAGGACCGTTGCTTTTGGTGCCTCCAGAGATCCACTCAAAACAAACACATACTTAACACCTTAAGTTGAACTAACCGTGAACAAATGTCATTTCTACCGCATTGTCAGCCATCCCCTGTGAAAACCCAAGCCGCAGCGTGAAGGACTCACAAGCGTTGTCGACGTTCTACATCTGAAGCTCGTTCTGCTGACAGTGTTAACGTGAAGGCAGATGGAAAAGGAGCTGACTGGTGTCTTGGAGGGTTTCCAAAGGTGCTCTTTTATCTGTGAACTTGTAAACACCTTCTCTCACTCCTCCTGCTCTCCTCTTGCATTGTGCTGCCATACTCTATTGTTTGAACTTCTCTCTCTGCTTTTCATCTTCTTGCGTATACGCATTTATGTGGGCCCCTTGGCACAGCACATCTTTAGGTACATGCACTTCTTCGTGTGGGTGAGTTTCTGAAATGTTGCTGAAGCGTGGGCATTGTATGGACAACACAGGCTCTAGAGGTGGATCATAGCCTAAATATCAGCCACTTATTAGTAGATTCAACTTCAATGACTCCTTGAATCTTTTTTCAGGCACCTGCACAATGGCAACAGACATCTTTTTCTCTTTAGACGTCCCCTCTTCCTGGGGGACCCTGATGCTTTTCTAGGCCTGATGGGATATTTCCGAGCTCCCCTCCCGGTTTGACTTTCTTTGGAAACCATCTCAAGATAATTATCCAGGATTAGGGATGGGAACGATTAATGGAATATTCAAAATGATTCAGGTATTCGAATATGAGTTATGAATATTTTTATTGTAATTTTTTTTTTGGGAGGGGTGCCCAAGTTGATTACATTATGATCAAATGGAATAATTCAATGTATATGGCTGCCGCCCCTCCCTACACGCAGATCACGCAGACTCAACCTCATCTTATGCCCAAACTCCAGATGAGAGGGTCTTCTCTACAGCTGGCCTGATTGTGAATCGCCTCCGCACCCGCCTCTCCCCTGAGAGCAGACATGCTCATATTCTTATAAAGAATGAGTATTGAATAGCTGCATTCTGTAGATAGGCCCTGTTATAGGTTGTTGATCTCTGTTGTCACGGGTTACGTTAGCCTAACCCATTATGTTGTTTGTGTATGATCCCTCTTTCATTTCAAAACCAAGTTATGTTTTAAGCATGAAAGCTGTAGGCCTATTGCTGTAAACTGTTCAAACTGTGATCACCAGTTCAATACATTTGACAAATTCAACTTGGTTTCTATACTTATTTGAACATGTATTTATTTATTTTTCCAAATTAAATAATATTCTTTTTTTGGTTACATTTTTTTCCCACATTTAAAAAAATTATAATTATAGGATAAGTACATTTCGGTTAATCGAATATTCGAACATACATTTGCTTTCAAATTCCCATCCCTATCCAGGATGCATCCTGATCAGATGTCTGAACCATCATAACTTGCTCCTTTCATTGTGAGCGAGTAGTAGGTGTAACCCGAGCTAATAGTGGTTTAGCAGCTAGCATAGCAAGGGCTCCCTTGACAACAAAAACTCAATAGTATTTTTTCATTAGATTTCTAAGTATCGTATCAAATAAGATCTGTGGCAAACACACGTTTATGATACTTGCATGTTTTGTTGGCATCACCACTTTTAGGATTTTTGAAGCGTAAATGACAGAAAATAAAAAGCTAAAGTTAAGTTATAAATGAATTACACCACATTAGTAATGATTTACTCATTTATGCCAAAAAGTGAAGACATTTTTCTTATTTCAGGAATCCAACCAAAACTCTAGACCTCATGAGGGAGCCCAGAAGTGCTTACATGCTAACTCATATCCAGGCTTTAGGACTCATTCCTGCACCACTCTATTAGGATGTTTGCATTATTACAAAGATTTCCTAAAGGACCATTATACTAGTTTCTGTATTTTTGCGATTTAGCGCCCCAACAGTTCCAGAGTGGATGAATGTATGCACCACTTTAGAATATGTGGACAGATCTAACATTACGCCTGCATTTGATATGAATCCATTAGAATAGCTAATGAGTGGTTATCTTTGCTAACACAGCCAAACATCAAGCAATTGCCACAACACCAATATTACGAAGCTAATACCCATTCAACCTAGACCTCAAAGAGGGGTGCTTTAAATCCCTTTGAAAAATATCACTCAATTCTACATTTCTCCGTCACTATGTGTGTGTTCCTCAGAGAACAGCAGACATCAGAGTGTTCCCTCTTTGTGTTTGTGCAGCTGCTGCGTGGGGGAACCTGATTTCAGATCTGGCCGGTCTCGGGTGAGCAGCATTATGAACGCTCTGATGTGTGATTGGTTAAGGTAGATGAAGAAAGGTGCTTCAAGGTACACTCTGTGTTTGCTGTGTTTTCATTCAAAGAAGGAACTGAGGTTTCTTTGTGCTCTTGTTCAATCAGGTGGGATTTGAGTTGTTACTACTTATCATTTTCATCTCATCTGCTGCTCTATCTTTACACATATTAATGCTTGAGTTTATTTTATTTTTATACTTTGTTGTTTTGTTCTTTTTTAAAATAATGAACTTTTGATAAGGGAGGTTAGATAATCATTTTGAAACAATCATCTCAACGGTAGCTTTAGTTTCTGCAAAAGGTTTCAAATAAGTGAAATGATTGGAATGTTGGGATGGTTCATGATTTTTGTCAATAACTCTCTCCACAAATATATTGACACAAATATGTGTGCATGCAGTCTTGCAGGTTATGTGGAGGTTCTGGCGACCAAATTTGGGATGCAGGGTCCAGAACTGACGCCCAAACAGGCGGACATGTGGCAGACCAGGGTCAGCTCACACATGGTGAGAAACGGATTCATCTATAGCTGCTGAATAACATCTAACACATGTTTTTAACTGAATGAAAAATGTTCCATGATAAATAGTTATACAAATATTTGTCTGGATATATTTTTCACAAGGAAAGAAAAATGTACATTTGAGAAGGTCAGACAATTGCAATATGTGCATCTCTAATTTGATGACTTCAACACAAAGCCAACAATTAGGAGATGACTACAAGGAAGTAGTGAGTAGTGTTAAATGGGATAACATGGAACAAAGATGACATCCTTTCCTCCTCTCCTCCTGCAGGGGAAAGCCATCGGAGTGTCCATCGGCTGTATCTTGGGGATGTTCCCGCTGTTCTTCCTGGATGATGATGAGGACAAAGAGAAAGCACAGCCCCGCATAGACACAGTGTCACCGTCTTCATAAGCAGCCGCTCCACTGCACACGTACAGACTGGATACTGCTGATGAAGTATTTCCAGCTGGATGTTTCTCTGTCTTCCTGCTCAGGCGGCGTTCACACCTCTTCAGTCTGTAAACCTAGCTGATGAGATTCAGTTCACAAGCCCTTGGAGCTTCTTCCTAACACCAAGCTGTGTTCACTGTCTGCTCAACTTGCCATCTGTTAACTGAACATGTCAATACAATGGCTATTCTCTCATTTCAATTCATCCATTTGACACGTTGAGGGACAGACGCTCCAGGGACCCATCATCCATTCTTCTTTTTCACCATGAGAAAACAAGCTTTGATTTCTTTGTGATATATATCCACATAATGTTAGACACTTTCAATAATAATATTGAATGAGTCTGTCTCAAGCACTTTTCAAATCTTACATTTTCTTAAACAATTCTATGATGTAGTCACAATCCCATATCTGATTCAGGTCTGTTTGATCTGTACAGCATAGCACACTCTGTCCTCAGACCCCTCAGCAAGTAAGGAAAGCCCACCCCCAGTACTAACAAATGCATCTTAAACTACATTCAGCCTGTTTGTGTTCTTATCCAATCACTAAGAAGTCAAACATTTTCCCCATGAGTTACTTAAACACAAAGACATGGTGGAAATGAATCTGATGAGTCTCAGCGTGGATTCATGCTCTCTCGTCAGCAAATACTTTAATTACACGTTTGCCAACAAACTCAATTAAATACAGTTTCCCCGTCAATAACAGGGCTACAAGCTCACTTTTTAGTACCGCAGCAATCTCATGTATACTTAGATTCTTGCATGCAGTGGAGTACTGTGTGTGTACACATTGTAATTGGTGAGAACGGATCAGTGCTCTCCATTGGCAGATTCCTCAGTATATGAATCCATATCAAGGGGGAGGAGTTACCGATGCAGAACGTTGCAGCCTCCTTAGTCCCAGCCTGAGATCCACTAACTGGAACCTTTGTCCCCTGTTGTTAAGAGCAATCAATAGTGTAGATTAGAAGCTCATTTATTCTTAGAAATGAAAAGATTTGGTTGTCATTGGAAACCAATGTGTATTAAGTCCCAGTCTTTGACACAGTTCCAATAGCTTTTGTGAACGCTGCCTGCGCGGCTCTCAGGATGGGAAGTGCTCACAACACCTGCACACTCCAGCTGGTTCAAACATCAGCTTCAGCCACAGCAGGTTCATAATAATATTCTTTATTAGACCCCCTCCTCTTGTCCACAGAGGGGTGTGAGTTGCCATCACACAGAAACATCCAGGTGTGAGGGGTCCCGTCCTGACGGTAGAAACATGCAGCATGTTCAGGAACACTACTTCACGTTCAACAGACAACCTGAGGCTTGTGTCCTTTTGATTTTCAACTAACTTGTAAAGCAGTACGTGGAATATGTTGGGACTCTATACACAAACCATGTAGGGTGAAAACAGGAAAGCGTTTCTCAACGTTCAGTGCCCACTGCTACCTCCATGGGAATGTGTGTCTGTGTTTTGCATGAAGAACTGATGTAGCTCTATAATCAAATATTTCCTCGTCAGATGGTTTTTAATATGCTGGAATATCTTCAAATGTCTTGTACCGACCGGTTGAAGGAGGGTCAGTGGCGAGGCTCTGAAACTGAAGTTGCTCATTTCAGTTTTGGGCTTTACTCTTTGTTTTCCAAGGTCTTCTTTGTATCTCATCTTTTCTCTTAAGGACGCTTGATTTGGACCCAGCCATCTGTGTTCTCTTCTTAGGTTTGTGCTCCATCACACTCGTAGCTGCAGATGGTTGGATTTACCACAAACAATAAGAGCGTGCAGCCTCAAAGTGTCTAGCATATACCACGAGTCCCTTCAGTAGGTTTGATTGATTTCTACAGCTCAGACATTGTCTTTTTCAAATGTGTAGTCTCTCTCTCTCTTTGCTTCTCTCTCTCTCTTTGCTTCTCTCTCTCTCTTTGCTTCTCTCTCACTCCAGCTTTCTGCTCATATTCAAGGTGCTTTTTGTAAATACAGTGAATCCAATTGATCCTGCTGCCTCTGAAACCAATCCCTATTCACTCCTTATTTCAATTTCCATTTTGTAATGGTGCAACAGAATATTATTTTCACTTTTGATTTTTATGGATCAACAATTATTCATTCTTTGAATCAGAAAAATAAATGTTGGGGATCCTAGAAAATATATTTTTCTAAGTAATTGCCTAAAATACAAGAATCTTACATTCTAAATACTCACATTTTAGAATGGCACTACTTAGGATTCTTTATGTAATATGTATGCACTATAATTTGCTCTAAAAATATCCCACAATGCATCAAAACAAAGTAGAGTCCACGGCAATTATGTTTTGATGATCCTAAATAGCAAAGCCTAACATTTGATGGATGCTTAAAGAACATTTCTACCACACTACTGCTGATGCGTGATGTTTTATTGTCCCATAAATGAATGTTGAAATGGAATCTCAAGCATAGCTTTCCCCCAGTATTCCTGATTACTACATATTCAAAAGGAGAGAAATACTGCTTATTAGTCTACATAAACATATCAACTATAGCTATATTGTTGCACACAATTGTATAATAATGTAAGAGCAGTAACATTCTGGTGTTGCTCATGGGAAAATCTGTATTTATTTGTTGCCTTATTTCCTCTTTGCGTCTCTGCAGTTGCAACAGTAACATGAAGGGTTAACCCATCAGTGAGGGAGGGGCTTCAGACTCACACCACACTTTGTTTCTATGAACCCTCAACTGGCTTTGACACTAGCAGAGCACGCTGGTCAGGAGGAAGGACAGCAGGAGTTATGCTAATGCCTTGAAAGGTTTGAGAAATGCCTAAACTCTAAAATGTTGTGATATTGATTGTGATGCAGGGAGGAGACGTGTTCATCTTCAGAGGGATGAGGACACAAATCCTCAAATGGAAAAGGAATGAAGTGAAGGAGATGAGGAATGTTGGGGAATAATGGAACCTCTGAGTTCAGACTGACTGGAGACAGAAATGTTTAACACATATTGTAATGAGTGGTTGGATTCCATATTTAACTTTGTCTTTGGTTTGACTGTAAAAGCCGCGAGGGAGTTATGGTGCAGAACAAGAAGCAATATCTGTTTTGAATCGTGTGCTAAATAAGGAGTAACTCATTAATAATCAATGTTCTCAGACACTTGATCTCGAATGGTTTTGTATCATCTCATGTTTATATCACGTTGTGTAATGTTTTCTAACAGGATGCTCAGGCCTGTGGTGAACACATTGGATTGTTTTGTATTCCTCTAGAGATTTTGAAGCATATGAACAAAGTATAACCTCTTAATGAATGCTGTGTTGTGCTGCCATCTTGTGGACCAGCAGCTGTGCACTGATACGTGTATGTACTCCAGCCAGTCATGTGGAAGGACTGATTATACAGGATGCATTGTGGAACATAATGTGCAATTTAAACTCATGTAATAAATGTGGGAATGTTACCTCTGACTCTGCAGGTTGTGCTGAAGCTCTGTTTGTCTTCTCATTCGGACATTGGACATTGGAACTCACTAAGGAAGGTTGAGGGCAGCAGATCTGAGGTCAGATTGTGTACGACTGTCACAGAACACACATCCACAGTAATGCATCTTATAATGGACCTAGCATGCTATTTTCTTAGGCAATAGCATAGGTCTCAGATATACAAATATATAAAAAACATCTTTATGAACTTTTTTGCTCAAAATACCGCACATTCTAGCCATGCCTCATATTCCTCTATTTCACTTCCTGTTTCAAAAGTGCTGATTTGGGGTATAAAGCTTAAACAAAACAAAAATGTAATAAAAAAGGAGGGGTCTGAGCTCATGTGGGACCCGGCAGCTACCGTCTAAACTAAATACTGCGGTGATGAAACGCCATATTATATGTAATATAAGTATTTCTGAAACAGTATGGAGCTCAAAGGCTTTCTCTCTTGCCGGTTATACCACAAGGTGAGTTCCTTTTTATTTCCTGCTTCTTCACACACATGCTCTGTGCAGTACAGGTTAGCTCCGAGTGTTAGCGATGCTAATGTAAACACCCACCATATTACGTCCAAAACAGTCGGGCATTGTTTCTGATAGGGCTGTGGGTGTAAAGCCAGCCCACGTTTAAGATATTACGTCATATCGGATGCACATCTGGATCAGCTCCGTTGTAGCCCTGTTTTTTAGAGATTTGGGTATGGAGGAAAAGAGAGGGTTTTAATTTCTGACGCTGCGTGAGTTCCCCGACGCACCGGGGACACATTTATGTATAGAAGACATCAAAGGTGCATTTTGCATGATAGGTCCCCTTTAAAGACTGAAAGGTTTTCTTGATCAGCTCCTTACTTTAAATGATGGGATCAGAACCAGGTTTAAACATATTAGGAATTAGCTTCGGTGTTTGGTGGTGCCAACATAAACACATTAAAAGGAAATACATTTTAAGAGAAAAAATAGAACAATTGCAAAAACTATTAAATATTAACAAATAGAGAAATATTTACAAAGAATACAAATTTTAAAAAGTGAGATTATGACAAAATATTATATTTCTAAGTGGAGGGCTGTACCGGGGTGTACATTTCGTAACTACTCTGCTTTATGTTTTGTGCATTTATTATTTGAAATGTCGTATTAATCTAATACTTAAATCATATACTAATTACTGCTGGTGTTTGGTTTTTTTTGCTTACTATTAATCTAATCTTCTCAAATTGTGCCCACAGTGCTGATGAAGTGTTTTAGATTTCATTCTAACTTTCTTATAGTTTTATTCACACTAAAAGGGAAACTTCCACAACATCAACAATAGATGTTGCTCTTTCTTACCTGTAGTTCTATTCATGTACACAGTGTTTCATGTGAGGAATTAATGTGGAGATATTGGAGGTCTGCTCTCTCTCTAATAAAAAATGTAATTTTGCTTGTGGTGCACAATGATTATGAAAAGCCAAATAGCCAAATAACTTCTCAGAACTTCATTTAGGAGCTGTTTACGTATAAGTACATCTGACATCCTCATCACTGCGCAGAAGGATGCGCTCCAACACCAAAACAACCCACATAAAGAAAAGCACTAAAGCTACTGTCAGAGGAAACACCTGTTTGATTTCAGGTTCCTTTAACCTTCAGTTTCTTCAGTCATGACTTTCTGACCTTTGCTAAAATATACTTTATGATAGTATTGCTGATGTGATAGCCACGGCTTGGGTACTGTTTCCAACATCAATCTGCTTAATGGCTCAATCAGTAGGGGCTTGGACTGTGAGCCGTGAGGACGTTGGTTCAAGTCCCCGACCAGACCTAAATATGGAGTGTGGACTGCTACTTGGAGAGGTCCCAGTTCACCTCCTGCCCTGCCATGGTGCCCTTGAGCAAGGCACCGGACAACCCCCTTCCCCCTCACTCCCATTGCTCCTAGTACTAGACTCCTGGTACTAGGATGGCTCAAATGCAGAGAACACATGTCACTGTGTGCTATGTGCTCTGCATGTGTTACCATTAAAGAAGGGTTTCATCCCTCCCATTCTATTCTTATTGAGGCTCAACAGAAGTTAAAACAAAATAATCAGTATTGTGTAGACACTCCTGTTTTTGTGTAAAGCGACCTTGGGTCCCCTGAAAGGCGCTATATAAATGTAAGTTATTATTATTAGACTTTAAACTTTCCAGTAAAAGCATATCAAACATAATATTTGTATTCAAATTATTATTCCAAGAAAGTTAGACAACAAATCAATAAATGCCTTTCTCCACTACCTCGAAATACAACACATGATGTTCAATGTAAGATTATATCTGTCTGTCTTTTTAATGAAGGCTCTCTAATTCAAATATTCCCACTTTACCCGGAGTCTAATCTCAGGTCCTGCCCTGACCAGCCACCTCAAAGTGTTCTCACTTCATGAACTCTATTCAAACTATACAAAAGTATTGCCAGTCTCTAAAACATCTCTATGTTGAGACATTACATTTTTATTAGGATAAGGATATATTACTTCTACAACAATCTTATACTAGATGAATCTACTAAATCAATCATCAGGATGAGATCTTTCTCTACTTACACTAATGTACAGATTAGAGTGAATGGCAGGAGGGAATCATGTTAACCCTTTACATAATGTTTTTGGCTTAATTGTTCAACAGGTCTTTATTTAAGAATTGAATAACAACTGACTCTAAAAGTATTTTCTAAGTTTATAAATTGACACACACAATACTGTATATCTCACTACAATTGATATCTGTTGGACAGAAGTTAAACGGTTATCTATTAATATAACAATCCATTGGCTCATATTTAAACTAAATGTTGCCTTCTCCAGTCTTGGGATATATCATTTAATTGAAAAAGTAAAGTATAATACAGATCAGTGGCATGTTGGAGAGTAAGGAAAAAACAAAACGCGTTCTAAGTCATAAGATGCACATCGTATGCTACGATTTTATTATTTAGCCAAAACAGCGAGTATACATAGAAAACAGGAGACAGTTAGGATTCAGGAAGTGAGCATCAAACACAGGGTCCTCAGGGCCAGAGGGAAAGGAACAGGTCGCACAGTAAGAAAATAAAAAAACATGACTTTAGAGACAGGTCTGTGTGTGGCAGTAACAGAGAAGTCTGGGTAATGCAGTCATTTGTTGTTTGGGGCTTTAATACTTTACTTCCTATTAGTCTCAAATGATGTCCCTTGATCTCCTCCTCCAAACTCTGTGGCCCTCAGGTTTTAATAAAAATTGTCTTGGCTCAGCCGTTGGAAAGGTGGTAATGACATCCCCCAAAAACTGTGATCATGTAACATAACGCCCCACCCAACACCATGACACTGTATGTTGGAACAGGATATACTTTTCATTTCAAAACTGGTCCTTCCCACTTACACTCCCAAACGTTATAACATCATTTTAGAGTTTACGTGAAAAGAAGGAAGCTGCATCAAGTCACAACTTCTCCCACATGTTTCATATTTACCTGTGAAACAAGTAGTTCAAATGAAACGGTGAAAATAAAAACCCAGGGCATCATTTAGCATACTGTAGGAAATTTGGGACACACACACACACACACACACACACACACACACACACACACACACACACACACACACACACACACACACACCCCTACCTGGAAGTGTTTCTGATCTAACTTTATCTAGCCGGATATTCTCAAGTGGCTCAATTTGGTTCTCAAGTTTGACATTGAGAATAACTTGTTGTACTAATGGATTTGATGGTGAATCACTTCTGTACTGCTCGGTGTGTGTTAGCATCACACACAGTTACTGAGTCCTGACAGGCTGGAACATTCAGCTTCATACGCTTTTCATCGCGTCAGCTACACGATTGTATTGGTTAACCTGCGTTGGAAAATGAAAATGGATATAAAAAAGACCGGCTTCAGTCTTCATAAAGGGAGTCAAACTGCTGTCACACTAAATCTGAAACATTTCTGACCCCTGTGGGGAAATGCAGCATCAAAAGACGGCCTCTAAAATGCATCTAGTAGAAGAAAAAGTAAAGGAAAAAATGTTTCCAGTAGAAAAAAGCAGATCATGAAATCCTTTGTTCAACTAAAAAAACACATGCATATTAAATACACTTGGTAATATGTTTTATATGCTCAACGGGAGTTTTAAAAACGTGTGAAGCCACGGAAACATGAGTGAAAACATTCAAATGAATAAATAATTGGACTTGTGATGGCACTCTATCAACAGTAACTATTCATTAGCAACAGGGAAGGTTCATCTACTCCAGCTTGGTACGATAATCACCCGCTGACACAAGTTGGTTCAACTCATCGGGCTAGTTGACATCTAGTAATACAAGTTATATATTTGTCGCAGTTGTACATGAATATCAGTGAACAGCAGTCGATGTTACCGTCTGTTTGAACAGAGGATTCTCAGTGGGGTCAGAGGTTGAACCATCTGGAGCCATGATGGAGATCTGGATCTGATAGCTAACAGACTTTGTTGTACTGCATCTGGACTATGTTCAGTATTTGTTTGAATGTTACACTGCTGAATAATACTACATTGGCTAGAGTCGAAATTGGTTTATTTAAACAAAATAAATATTGAAATACCAAAATTAGAAATAATAGAAATTCAATGTCTTTGTCAACATTATAATTACTTATTAAAAAGGTAAAGTTCTAAATATTATTCATTAAGAGCACTCACTATGTAGAATGGTTAATTTCAGCATCAATGATTGTGGGTAGCTAGAAGGGAAATGATCAAGTACAATTGTGTACAGAACTTGAGTACATATACCAAGTTTGATTCGCCCACTGTGTCCAATGCTAGCAGCATGAAACATGTCAGATGTCCTTTCAGCTAAAGACCTCCATCATGGCTGCCAGTCTTAAACCCTTGAGGAACTCACTTAAGGACTAAAGCAGGCTGAATTGAATACTAGTTTATATGTCCTACCTGTTTTCTTTCCAAGCAAATGCACACTTTATAGTGGTGCCTGTATTGGGAAAGTTAACTAAAAGTTACTGAATTTCATATTTTAGTATAGCTTGTAGTACAAAATATACTTTTTATGATCCTGCCATTTGTTCTCCCAACCATCAAAACATGTGAGTAAATCCATGTTGCTTGTGCCAGCCTGACACTGTTAGCAACCCTCATTAAAGATGTCATACTTGAACGTGCTATAATCCAGATAACTGCAGCACACTCTCCCAATGCTAAACTCATCCACAACTGTTAGCAAGCTGAATACTCCTCAGCACACTGGCTTCTCTACAGACCAATACACTGATCCACATTACTCTGATTACTATAGTAAGTGTATGCTAACACAACGTTGCTACGTAGCTGGTAGATTAGCAACATGTTAAAGGTTGAACAGGGACAGAGGGGTTAGAGAACCTGGAGGCCAACAACGTGTCACATCCTGTCTGTCTGCAGGAGTTCTTTCAAATAGTTGTTTCATCTATTTATTTAATTGACATGTATACATATTTTTGCACAGCTAACAGCAGACTTAATCTAGCACGTTGCAGGCTCCACAGTTCCTGATGTGCTACTATCGACACTGTTTATATCCACTGCTGGTACGACACATCATTTCGAAGCTGATTGTGTATACTGGGGCACACTTTAAGAACATGCAGGTTCATCTACTGACGGTGGCTTTGACTACCACATTAGCTGTGAGGGGTACACACCACTTTAATATGCTACCCTAACATATACAAATACTTTCAGTTTGTGTCAATGCTCAATTATTCTGTCAGTCACTCTTTATTCTCTATGTTTATACAGACAAACAGAATCATTTCATTTAAATAGAGAATATTTAAGTTAAATTTAGCGCACAGGCTTTTGGCACCTTCAAGTGAAAAGGGAGACTATGGGGATGTAAAAGGAGCGAATGGCAAACAAAAAGGTACAAACACACAAAAATATTAATATGTACAAATAATGATTTGATCTTTTTATAAATACTTCATCACACCTTCCAGCTCGCTGTTACCACTTCCACTTCTTTTCCTTCAAACCTCTTGTCCTTCCTTCCCAATACTACACACATTAACATTTACGTGATGTTTCATTAATTCATTTTTGCTACAAGAATATTCTTGTACAACTCCTGACACAAGGATGTCCTTTCACATCTTTCCTCTTATGTACTGAAGTTGCCCAGGGGAACTGATCTCGGATCAGCACCAGTATTCCTCAGTCAAGGGCAATACTGACAGTTTTAAACCTGGGAGAAGTGCTTCAGTCAGGTAAATGTGGCAATATGGTGGAGTTCTTGGCCTGAACAACACCATTGATACATTGTTGTTGGATCAATTCTAAAATCTGGGAGAAACTTGTATATTTGACCCAAATGAGTTTGATAGATTCCCTTTAGTTAGCATCAGTTATCAGAGAGATATCAAACCATCTACATAGGAGCTCTGATACCTAAAACTCTGTTTGGCAAAAGGTGATGGTGGCAATTTTCAGCTCATTTCAGCTCATGATCAAATATCCCTCAGAAGATGTTTTGAGTCATTTCAAATCTGATCCTTGATCAGAGTCGCTAGGCAACTTCCTCCTATCCTCTGCGTCCATTGATGTCAAAGTTGTTGATGTTTACTTTAAGTAATAACCATTTAGTGTCCCTCTAAGAGCGTCTTTGCTAAACGCAGCCAGGTCATTGGCTGAGTCCCCCTCAGAGTCTCAGTAAATGCTCGGAGCTGACCGGTCATTGGTGGACGTCCTCTTCAGCCTGACGCCTCGTCGGATAGCCACCAGAAAATCCTCCACCTCGCTGCTCTCCGTCTCCTCCAGGAGCTCCGGGAGAGGCCGGCGCTCCCACTCACACATCCGCCCCCCGGGCTGTGGTGGAGGGTCGGGGGGGTCCGAGCCCTCGCTCAGGTGCTGGGCCTCCCAGGAGCCGGACCTCGGGGACAGGGGCCCGCTGCAGCCTGGGGACAATGGTGTGGTGGGGGGGCTGAGCGGGGTTCGTGGAGTGTTTCCCTCCTCTGACGCTGCTCTGCTGGGGAAGCCGGGGTGGTCCGGCACCGTGGGGGTCTTCACTGGGATCATGGGAGGCTTGATGGGGATGGGCCCCAGGTTGAGGCCTCCGGAGGGCCGTCTCAGGTTTGGTTTGGAGGAGGGCGTCCGGCGGATGGTGGCGACCCCTGGGGTGATGATGGAGGAGGGGTTGCAGGGCAGCCCAGCGGTGGAGGCGGGCCGTTTGGACTGGAACATGCGGCGGTAGGACTGAGTGATGTCACTGTTCCTGGGGACGGTGCAGGATTTATCAAAGTCCTGGTGCTCCCCCTCCTGGTCCACCCCCACTGAGTAGTAGTCACAGTCTGACACTGGGAGGGGGCACAGAGCTCTGTTATTCACCTCACTTTTAATTGACTATGACTACTTTCTTATGACACACAACAATATCATATTTATAATAAAATATCTTCTAGATGCACCATACCATTTTTTGAGTACATGCTTTACTGTGTTTGTTTTTATTTATATATTTTCGACATACTATACTACATAGTTGTTTTACACACTAAATTTGCAATTCTTCCCCTTCATTTCTGACACACTATACCACAGCTGTGTGTGTGTGTGTGTGTGTGTGTGTGTGTGTGTGTGTGTGTGTGTGTGTGTGTGTGTGTGTGTGTGTGTGTGTGTGTGTGTGTGTACCTTGAGAGGGGATGGTGTCCTCTGAGCAGCAGGGGGTGTGTGTCTGGCTGCTGTACCCACTGGAGCCCTGCAGGGAGTCTCTGCTGGAGCCGCTGATGTCCAGCTGGAGGCCCCGGGCCAGGGCGCGGGCCAGCTCCTCGTGGGCCTCCCGGTCCTCCTGCAACATCACACACACACACACACACACACACACACACACACACACACACACACACACACACACACGTCAGATCACTTCAGTTACCAAGTTTCTATCTAATCAACAAGATGCAAATAATTCATGTGACCTGTGTTGACCCTTTTTATTGACATGAACAAAGTCTGACCTTGGCCGAGATCCCAGAGGGGCTCCCTTTAACCTCTCCTGGGGTGAGGTCAGCGCTGTGGTGGCTGCTGGGATCTGTAGTCTCCTTCCTGTCCTTGCTCCTCTTCAGGGTGTTCACCATGGACTGTTCATAAGGGCCCGGTTTGGCCCAGTCCTACAGACACCAGAGACAGTGCAGTGTTACACTGTTAACAAGTCACTGCAGACTGAATCATTGTCAGTCAAATAGTACATCTGTATCTACTGGAATAAAACAAGATTAAGAGAGAATACAAGGCAATATAATTAACGTTTCTGACAAACCTAAATTAAATGTGTATTTACAGACCACAGATCAGTAAAACCCTCATTTAGGAATTAGGAGAATTAGGAGAAATTATATTTGAGTGAAGAGAGAGGCTTTCTGTAATGTGTAATTGTTGTTTTAAGGTCTGCTTGTAAATCATGAAGCTGACAGACTAATAAGGGAATAATATAACACACAAAAGCAGACTAACGGCAGTGGGGTTTTGCAACACAGAAAGAAAGTACTATTGAAGAGAAGAAGACACTGTAATGATGAGATGAAACACATCTGAAGAAAGAAGGGAAAACAATGAAGGAGGAGGCCGGGGGGGCAGAACGAGGGTCAAACCTTCCAGGTGGGGACTCTGGATGAGGGGTACACTCCGGGCCCCGAGGGGCCGAGAGGCAGGCACTCTCCTGATTGGCCGGAGCCTGAGCGAGACCAGGGCCACGTGGGGGAAATGGACGAGTAGGAGGGCGAGGAGATGGGGGAGGTGGTGGTAGAGTAGGTGAAGTATGGAGGGTGGAGGTGGGGGGGGTCCTGGGCCTGCAGTACCAGTCCGTGCAGACAGAGGGCAGCGTGATGGTCAAAACCATTTGACAACTGAAGGGGGGGATGAGGAAGAGACACAATGCACAAATTAAAAAGGTGAGGGTGAGGACTGTTGAGGATGTGAAAACATGAAGAGGAGGTGCTACAAGGAGCAGGTCAGGGACTGTTCAGAGATCTGTTGTAGATGTATGTCAGCCTCTGCTAAGGCTCACAGGCAGACATGATCAGCTCTCAGGACCAATCTTCATAACTGACTGTTCCCACAGTCCAAACTGAACATGGGGACTCTCTGTTACTCTGCTTTAAATTACTTTGAAGTCTGTTTCCCCTGTTTTCATTCTGTGTTCTTCTGATTGTTTATTCTTTCATTTTTATTTTAGGTTATTCTATTCACCAAACAACATTATGTCAAATGTTGAATGATGTGTCAGGAGACTACTAAATCTGACACGCCTCATTTTCAAGAACCTCTTCATCAAAATACATAATAATAAGTGGATCTGATCAAATGTGTGATATACTGAATGGAGGTTCAACAGGCAGAGGCTTCTGCTGTTAAACAAACCCTGATGCTCCATGTGACACCTTCACACACAGGACAACAGACCTAACACACCTTAGCAAAGTGTGTGTGTGTGTGTGTGTGTGTGTGTGTGTGTGTGTGTGTGTGTGTGTTTTCAGATGTTCACCTCTTGGTTGTGTGAGGGTGAGGAAGGCTCCTCAGATAAAGCAGAGACACAGGACTGCAGCAGAGCCATGCAACACACACACACACACACACACACACACAGACAGACAGACAGACAGACAGACAGACAGACAGACAGACAGACAGACAGACAGACAGACAGACAGACAGACAGACAGACAGACAGACAGACAGACAGACAGACAGACAGACAGACAGACAGACAGACAGACAGACAGACACACACACACACACACACACACACACACACACACACACACACACACACACACACACACACACACACACACACACACACACACACACACACAGAGAGAAAGGCCAAGAAAAACAAATAGACAGAAACAGAAACATGATGCAGGTTAGTCATAAAAAGAGAAACTCAATGTAAGTCAGCAGAATAATTAGCAAGTCAAATGAAACAAACAATCAGCTGTAGCAGCACACACAGGAAGAAGAAGACTTTCGGAATCATCATCATTAACAACAAAACCATGTGTCTCCTTAGAGCAGGGGTCGGCAACCCGCGGCCCTTTAAGCCCTCTGCTCTGGCTCCCTTGAGCTTAGACAAAAATAAGAAGGAAATAAAATAAAAGTACTTGTAGGACTATTTATATTTTGTTGCATGGTTGAAAATGTTTCGTATCTTGTATTTTGAAGTGATACTGTGACACATAAATAAAAAACAAAACAGTTTTAATTAGGTCAACTAAAATATGCGTCACATNATTTTTTCCGGTTGTGTATTTTCAAATTCTAGCGCACACGAGCTGGTTTCTCCATTCTTACCTACCCTACCTTTAACTCTTTTTAGGGTGCAGCTATATGTTTTATTTATTTCAAAGTGGGCCCATTTTAATAATATTTTTTTTTCCTTCAAATGTGCAGAGGACTCCCCAAGTGCTGTGTTTAATTTATTTTAAAGTAGGCCTGTGTATTATTTGTAATTCTCCTTATAGGAGTTCTTTGTTTCTTATTAGAGGTTAACAGTTTTATATAATGTAATAAATAGCCTAATAAATGCAAAAAAACTGTAGTTTTTTTCTAATATAACAATAAATACAACTTTATTAGCTATCAAGCTATGAAATATGTTTTGCGGCTCCAGACAAAAAAATGTTGGGGAAAAAGGAGCAAAATGGCTCTTTTGGTCAAAAAGGTTGCAGACCCCTGCCTTAGTGTCATCGGGTTTGACAAATGCATACAAAATGCATTAGATATATATAATCCAACAAAATGTTGCTGCATCCAAAAAGAAAACATACATTGATGTATAAGAACAACCAGAAAAATATAGTCCACTGGAGTAACTGTGTTTCTTTTCTAAAAATGTATTTTGTTTAATTATTAGTTATAAAGCTACTTTTACTCCTAATAAATGTGCATGGTTGATGGAACAGGTAAAACAAGACAAACCTAAGGTGGGACAGCTGTATACCAGTTCAAGTGTAACAATTAAATACATTTTATTTTGTTAAAATTGGGTGAACTTAATTTGTCTCTTATTGGATTGTTTTACAATTCCAAACGTATACTGCCAAATTGAAGGCTTACATGGAATATTCTTAGTATTCATTTTGAATTCAAACATAAGCTTAACCTGCAATAACCTTGATTTAGACTACATCTCTGTTAGTTCAATCAAAAATAAACAAGTCCATCTGTATGTGAGATCACGCTACTATGACAACAGAGAAGCAAAGGAGAGGAAGAAGGGGGAGTCGGCTCAGACTGGGTTATAGGAGGTTGCATGCAACATATACACACACAGGCAAAGCACATACACAGATCAGTTGTGTGCTATAATATAAGCTTCTGACACACACACACACACACACACACACACACACACACACACACACACACACACACACACACACACACACACACACACACACACACACACACACACACACCTGATTGTATCCCTTTAGAGAAAGTATAACTTGCTTTTGTTTTCCAGAAATTGTCTGCAAAAAGTGGGATTCATGTTTAAAAAAAAGAAAGAAAGTCATACCTGGTTTGAACAGCTCCCAGGCTATAACAAAATGTCAATTGACGTGTCATTTGTATAGCTTAACAAATATATGAAAAAAAAATCACAATGGATGTGAAAGGCCAGGGATCTGATCAAACCCTGTTGAGTCTGCTCCAGGACCTCTCTCTGACGTCAGTAGCATACCGGAAGGTTCATATGGCAAGAACAGGCAGAAGAACAGTGTGTTTCAGTAAGATGGTGAACTCTGTCCTCACCTGGGAGCCGTCCGGGGGCATGGGTGAGGGGGACTTGGACTGGAAGGCGTCCTGGGAAATGAAGCCGGAGTCGTGGGAGGAGACCGAGGAGAGGCGGGCAGGGGCCTGCTGGGGGAGCACCGAGGAGGAGGAGGAGGCACGGTAACGGAAGTGGGAGGTGGGGGAGTGGCAGTGGGAGCCGCTGGAGCGAGAGTCGCTGCTGTTCACACTGTTCAGGCTGCTGCAGGGGGAGAGGGGGGTTACTGAGAAGCTGTTTGTGAAAAAAACAACTATCTTCATTTCAAATGGTGCCATCATTTAGTGCACACATGGTAGCATGTCACTATCACCATCATTCAAACATTTGCGCACGGAAATGCACAGGTAATTGTTATATATACTGATTTATCTTATTTATGTTAATATTTTATTCATTTTGTTCTTATTCTATGTTTCTTAAGTACTTCTTTTACATATGTTTATTTCCTGATTTTCAACATAACTGCCTTTACTTTTTTTAAATCAATTTACGTCAAGCACACATTTTCACATCAAATTCATGGATAAAACGCAGAGAACAGATGTCACTGTGTGCTGTGTGCACGTGTGACCATTACAGAGGGTTTCATCCCTCCCATTCTATCCATCTATCTTCTTTGAAATGTAAGTATTTAATGAACCAGAGAAATAACAGAACAGATCAGATAATAAATCAGCTGGTTGAGATGATGGGCAGTTTCTGTGGCCATGGTTACCAACCTGCACATGCTGGACTTCCTGGATACGGTGGTGCTGGGTGAAGAGGGGGGGGTCTGGTAGGACCAGGTGCACTCAGAGCCCTTCAGGTCTAAGATCACCTGGAGGGACAGAGGGGAGGGTCAGGAAAACTTCAATCATTTTTTTGGCCATTTATTTGTGTGGTTTTAGGCCATAAAAGACAATTATTATTTTACTATTTGTAATTGAACTCCCCCCTAAATGTTTTTGTAATGCATTGCCGCCACCACCATACACACTTCATCTTCATGTAGTGTCAGCTGCCAGACTGTTTAAGATGTTAAGATTACAAAACTGATCCAGTGTTCAAGTTGCTCCAACTGGCTCAAAAGGTGCAAGTTCAAAACTCTTTTGGTGGATATATTGAGTTGTTTGGGGTTTATTGATGGCCTGTAAACAGGTGGACTTAAAAAAACTAAACTCAATTGAGAATCTATTCCTGCATTTGACTTGCGCCATTGTGTCACATGTACTATTTATCAATTGTTTCCTTGTATATCTTAAGCTTATTGTATGTTGCACTGTTCGATAAGCCTTGGATGCACATGTCAGTACAACCTTTGAATCCCATCTCCAGTAGCTTTAGTTGTTCTCCCTGGGGTAGCTTAGCTGTACTTTCTCCCATTGTATTGTACTTAGCTCCCCAACACTGACTACTATATACGTACATTATTTATACTATTGTAATATATTGCACTGCTATTTTAGTGTCTTTTTGTTGTTAGTTTTATTGCTATTATTACTACAATGTTGAGGATTCATAACCAAAGATTTGACTCTCTTATACTTGAATAATTGAGATGAAACACTAAAGGAATCTTGGATGGATCCTGGGTCAGCAGATGTGTAGGTTCTCAGGTGAGGAGGTGTACCTGCTCGCTGGAGGGGGGCAGCTTGTGGGGGTCCATGGTCAGAGCCTTCAGGTCGTCTGTGAGGGTCTGGAGGTGAGTGATCTCCCCCAGCATGGACATCTCCTCCTCCTGACCACACACACAGCAACACGCTCAAACATGTACAACAAAACTTCCTCACTGCACTTTGTAAACAATCACCACCTGGGTCTTTAGCATGGAGGCGTGTGTGTGTGTGTGTGTGTGTGTGTGTGTGTGTGTGTGTGTGTGTGTGGACCTTAACTCCTCAGCTATAGATGCCTGTCTTAACACCCCATGGCCCTGCAGTCGGCCAGATGTGACTGACCACCACAGGCTTCAGCATGGTGACGAAGCAGCAGAAGCGGCTCCTCTCCTCCACCAGCGCCTTCCTCACCGCCTGCTTCTCCGTCTCCTCCAGCAGCAGGTACTTATCATTCACTTCCTGCATGGCGCTGTCCAGCTGAGGCTGGAGGTCCCCGCGGCCTACACACACACACACACACACACACACACACACACACACACACACACACAGTTATAATTGTTATAAATAAATAACATAACTACAGTAAATAAGTGAAAAGCTGTTGCTGCCAAAAGGAGCAGAACATTTGGAAGTGTGGGAAGAGGTCCGAAGCATCTGAAACAGTTAGTGATAGCATCAATCTCTCTATTAATCAAAAGAGTGAAGAATATCCACCACCGTTTCTCAGAGCAAAAGTCAAAATGAAATTCAGGTTTTCTCGAAACATTATTCAATTAAAAACCACGTTACTTATTAATTTACAGTTGTTCAACTAATCGGATACATTTCAGCTTTACTGACGTGATAACAATAAATCATTATTTATTTATTTGATATAGGCGCCTTTCGAGGCTCTCAAGGTCGCCGTACAAACACATTAAAAACAAGATACACAACACAACACCAGCATAAGAAACATAAACAAGACAATGCAGTATATTTTGATGAGGTCAGATATTTTCAAGTCAAAGGAAAGTGGACGTTGTAAAGGCCCTAGTGATGAAAGGTCCAGAGGAAGGTCTTCTTCACTGACAAGGATTTGGCATTAATGGCTGAACATACTCTGTATAATGGTAAAGAAATCTAATGTAGTGCACTAAATCATTATCCAGGTATTAGAGGTGAGTGAGAAAGACAGAACAAGAAATAGAGAGCATGAAATCATATCTTTACTTTACTTCCATTAAACAGGACTTTAGTTTCAAAAGGAGCAGCAAACCCTGAACCTCTTCAAAACATTAGTTAGAGCCTCCCTCAAACCTCTAAGCTACATTACATTCAGGGTAACAACCAGCTGCTGACATCACGCTAACACTCCACATTATTCATTTTGTGAGCTTTCAGAGATGTTAAGAAAGAGGATCTTATTTCTTTCTTTATTAAATGATCACCTCCACTGGAACTGGATGGACATCTTTTCCACATTTGTCCAACAAATCCCACAACATTTTTTGATAAAAGAGTGAACAGTTAACGCAATTCCACAGAGCCACTTTTATTGCCGTTTCTCCATCCACGTCACATTTGAGAAGCTATAAATAAATCAACTAATCATTTAACAACTGTCGACTTCTTTATTGTTCTTACGAGGGTTTCGGGGAAGAATTTCCTCTCTAAGACGATCATTTGGTAATCCCATCGTCTGTTCTTTACAGACATAAACATGTAATTAAAGATCTTTAGTTCTCCAGTAAGATCCGAGGCTTCTGTGGTCGGCCTGAGCGCAGCAGGCTCAGCCGAGGCTTCTGAGATACAGAGAGGGAAGAGATGGCCGAGAGATCCTTCAACACACAGGAATGTCATTACTGGTTTCCCGCGGAATTTAAGCAACCAATCCCGAGGGCAGAAGATCCAACTCAAGCATTTATCTCTCCAGCTCTATCTCCTTTCATTTTGTAAGCGTAGATACTAAACACTGACAATTTGTATACATATTTTATATTCTGTTAATTCACACTACATGTTTAAATTGGCCGTTGTGCATGGCCAACACAGCTGACTTGAACGCTCACTGTACATATTGAATGAAGGATTACAACATGCTGCTGACACTGAGCATGACCTCATCTGACGTTGAAAAAGAAAGACAAAGGCAGCCTTGCCATTGTGAGAAAGACAATAAGAGAAATGAAGAATGTTGAAGTGCAGATGGCTGGAAGATGCAGACATCATGGTCCGAAGTTCAGTTTGACTTCCATCACAGCAAAGTGTGAGTCACACAGAGAACACAACATGTACAACTACGACTCCAACAACTATTAAAGAGGCCCTGTTATGCTTTATGGGGTGTCCCTTTCCTGTAGTGTCTTGTATGTTTTTCTGCATGAAAATGGTCTGCGAAAGCTAAAATCCCTGTGTTCCCTCCGTCTATGGTTCCCTTCCACGCACTCATCCACTGTCTGAAACGCCTCCATTGGACTCCTTTGTTTACCTCAATAACATTATGACATCACTATGTAACGCTAGGCTTCTATTGACTAGCGCTCCAATACAGTGTACTTGATAGGCTAATGGGCGGGACATCTCTAAGCGGTTGACCATCACAACAGAGCCGGCCAGCTAGCCAATCAGAGCAGACTGGGCTCTGGTTTCAGACAGAGGGTGAAAAGAGGTGCTGCAGCACAGGCAGTATGAGAATGAGAAAGAGCTTTTTGAACATTAGAGCATGGAAACATGTCCCAGTAGAGACACTACATACTGATATGACCCTGAAAATGTGTAGAATATGTCCTCTTCAACAAAAATGCTAAAACAAATGGTTCGCCATATGGCTCGAACTGCAGACAGCCAACCAAAATATCCGACCAGCCAGAAATCCACCAGACTTTCCATCAGTCAGATTGTTAATTGTTCAGGAAACTAATCAGGCATCATGACCCACTTAATGTCATGTGGCACTCAATCTGGGTTAACATCTAATCCATACTGTGTGTGAACTCTGTATAGCTTCATTTTTTTAGACCAACTTTGTTAATTTAATTGTAATATTGTGTCCCTCGCTCCACGCTGATCATTGAACATTAATGCAACAGAGATATTTGTCCGGTTTAAGGTCTTTGTCAAGGACACATGTGCATGTAAAGAAATGATCAGACTCAATTATATGTTTATTTACTGTCAGTACAAGGCCAACAAATCGACAGTCAATGGGAAAATTGTAGCATGGAACATTAGAGTTCTCTAGTTTGTACTGCAATTACAGAAAAGCAGTTTCGTGTTTACAAATACGATCAATGCAGAAAGCCAACTGGGGTACTTAATAATGAATAATCTTGATAATTATCTTTGACATGATTCAGACAGATGGCAAAGGGAACTCCTCCCTCCATCACTCTCCATCTCATTCATCCCCTTCATTTTAACTTCATCCCTCTCTCATTATATTGATTTCTTTCCAACATTTCCCTCTTTGAATCTCTTTTTCCTTCGTAACATTCATTCCACTGCAGAGGGAGTTTCCTATCGTGCAGTAATAACAGTCTGGAAAGGCCCGACAACCAAAGCAGACTTGACCACATCTGAGGTTCCTCTGGGGTCAATCCTGGGCCCTGTTTGTTTTGTCTTAAAGGCTCAATTCAAAGCTGGAAGCCATCGAGTTCTTTGTCGGCTGGAACAACAGGCTCTTGTTTCCACTCATAATACGACTCGTTTTAGTTCGATGAATCCGACTGGAACTACTTGTTCTAGAAGTAGAGGACTCATTGGCTCTTTATTTGTGGTTCTGTGCAGCTCAGTGTGTAGAGCAAAGTAATAACACTGTCATAGAGGGCCTGATCCCGTCAAGCTGTCAGACACTCTCAATGTGATGCATAAACGTGACAAATTACAGGCTAATTTTACACATATGTTCTGTGTGGGAACATGATAACTACCCTACTGTGTGTGATCCAACCAAGGGGCCCCATCTGGAGTGAAAAGTGAAGTGCCTTTAAACTGCATTCTCTTTAATAGCAAGCAGGGGGCGCCTTCACTGCATACACTCTTCCCACTCTGGTCCAAAAACCATCACTTCTGGCTCCAAAAAAGCCAAGATGGCAAACATCCAAAAGCCAAAATGCCAAACCAGGATGTTAGCATGATAAGCTAATTAGCAGTAAACCCAAATCACAGTTGAGGAATAGAAACGTTGACGTGATGATTGTCCTGGATTTAACAATTCAGAGAATCAACAAAGCCACTACAATTCACCCTGTTGGGGACATGTGTGTGTGTAATGTATTCAATTTTACCGCAATCCATCTAATAGTTGTTGAGATATTTCCCTCTGAAACACATTTCTGGACAGACCAACACTGACATTCCTAGAGCTGCTAGCATAGCTAGAAATAAGCAAGAGGCTATACAGGAACATCGCAAACTACATACTGTATAGAGTGTGAACTGCATAATGCTTTCAAAATTAACAATTACATGTGCCCTAACCAGCAGACTGTTCACACTGAAGTAAACACGACCAACACGTCTTCTCACATATCGATCACAATGCTAGCAATCTTAGCTACAATTGAATGAGAATTGTTTATCACAAACGTAAATCAATAATTCCTTTTGAACTCAATGCAATATGTTTCAGTAATATTTTAGGCAAATTCAATGTATTAAATATTTAAGTGTTCAATAGGTTTTCCACAGAACATTATGTGAGCTCCCGTGTTTTTCCTCTTATCTGCACCTTAACAAAACTGGCTGTCTTCCGTTGTCATTTTAAACGGTTGATTGTTCAAACTATCAGTCAGCCACTGGACAGCCTGCGATATACTTTGGGGTGGTTCATGATGTCCGTTTGACTAGAAAGTCATGCTCACTAGTTTACGTTGGGACATTTCTCACATGTCATAGTCTGAATTCACATACTATGTATTGCAACCCATACTTACATACATCAGCAGTATGTATAGTCTTTGATTACGAACACAGACTGAGGTTTTCAGTGTTTTCCTGTATTATCTCATTGCAGTCACATTTGTACTGATGTTATAGAAGCATCGTTTCTAAAGGACCTGAAAAACATCTTGAGCATTTCTGTATGACATTCCTCGTTGCTTATTGTCCAACATATATAAAATGATACCACTATATTTGTGACAAAGATATCAATAACCAGGCTGTATCATGCTTTAATATTCCATATTGTTGTATAGTTTGTGAGTTACCCAGCTGTGTTTTGTTGTGGTGGGATTGTGCCACAATATATCATGTTTTACAAAACGAGCTGGGGAAATCCTTCTCTTTGAGCCTCAGCGCTTTGTTGTGTTCAGGCTTCGGTTATGTGAGTCACACAAACATCTAAACAACGTGGGAACATTTTTCAGCCGACCAAAGCAGGCTGGATAGGATTTTGAAAGAGAGGCGCAATGTGTTCTCTGACTTTCTGATAACATCTAACAAACCATCACTTTCCGTCTTGTATTCACCATGATAATACATTCAATATCTGCGTACCTCCACCGCAACATTTAAGCCAAAACCATCATAGTTTTATACTAGTGCTATATTAAAGCCAAACTAGACTGAAAGTTCAGGGGATTTTTACAAAGGACAAATACAAGAAGATACCATTATTAACACTGAACAGCTGAGTATTTCCAAATAAAATCTGTAATGAAGGGTCATAGGTCACAGGGTCTTGACAAGAGACACTATTGTACCTGTGTCTTTACAATAATCATGCATAAAAGTAAAAAGCAAGGGAGTAGAAAAGCAGCTTACCAAATACATCAGCTGGATGGAGCAGTGCATGATGGGACACCACAGGAAGGGAAGGAGGCACATTGTTGGAACAGGAAAAAAATCATTAACTTTAAAATCATCACATATCTAGAGTCGGAAGAAGTACTAGATTGTATCTTTTTACTTAAGTAAAAGTACTCATACAACAGTGTAAATGTACTCTTTTCAACCTAACTTATTAGGTATTTTAATGAAAGTACTTATGTGTCAGAATCTAAATATGCTTTAAAGGTCACCTATCATGCTATTTTTAGGCAATAGCATAGGTCTCAGATATATACAAAAATATAAAAAACATGTAAATGAAGTGTTTTGGTCAAGATACCAAACAGATCACCCATTCTAGCCATGCCTCATATCCCTCTATTTCTCTTCCCGTTACAAAAGTGCTGATTCTGGGTTTAAGAGGGGGCGGAGCTTATGCCGGCTCATGCGGGACCTGGCAGATGTCTAAAATGCTGCGGTGATGAAACGCAAGGATTATTAGATCAAGGATTATTTCTGAAACAATATGGAGCTCAAAGGCTTTCTCTCTTGAAGGTTTACCACAAGGTGAGTTCCTTTTTATTTCCTGCTTCTTCACACACATTCTCTCTCCAGTACAGCTTAGTTCTGAATGTTAGCGATCCTAATGTAAACAGAGACTATTACGTCTAAAACACGTCGGGAATTGTTTCTGATACAGCGATGTTTCTGATGTCATATCAGATGGCAAATCTGGATCAGCTCCATTTTTAGAGATTTGCGCACGGAGGAAAAGAGAGGGTTATATTATCTGACACTTTGTGAGTTCCCCGACACACCTGGGACACATATTCATGTATAAAAGACATCAAAAAGTGCATTTTGCATGATAGGTCCCCTTTAAATTCTAAATGTTACGGACGTATTATGCACAATTGCCTGATTTAGAATCTTATTTATTTTAACGCAACTTTTTTTAAGAATCAATTCTGATTGGTCAATTATAACATTCTTCGGTCTATTTATATTAGCATCAAGTAATTATACTTAATTACATTTCAACACTGCTTCTCTTCATAATAATTTCAATACCACACATGATTAAATGATTCCACTATAATACTTCCACATGAATACCACTAATAATGTAACTATGACACACTCATAATAAAATCATTCCAATCCTTCCAACTCTTTCAAAAGAGTGTTATTACTAAATGAAATATGTTTTAGGCCGAATGACACTTGATATATAATGATAATAATTGCTCATAAGTGACCACACACTAAAGAGATTGCAAACCTTTCTTAGCTTTCTTCTGCAGCTTCAGAGTGTCAGACGATCTCTTCTTGATCTCCTGACGGGCCTTCTTGTACTCTGTGGAGAAACACAAAAATAAATAATAAAAGATATGTCTCAGATATTCACATAAATATATAAATAGGGAGATTCAGAAAGAACACCCAGACGTTGGACACACATAAATAGGGGCATGGTGTCTGTCTGTGTTTGTCTACCTTTGGCGTGGTCTTTGTCCAGAGTGTTGGAAACTCTCTTCCACTCCTCCATCTGTTCCTGTAGAGGGTTGATCAGACAGTCCAGAAACACCCTGTGGACACACACACACACACACACACACACACACACACACACACACACACACACACACACACACACACACACACACACACACACACACACACACACACACACACACGTATCTTGATTTCAGCGCATTGTAGCATGTGGAATTATATGTTTGATCAATGTAATCCTTTTCATCCAACTGATGTCATTAAAAACAAAGATATGCACTTGCCAATGGTATTTTAGTGATGGAAAAGGCTAGCCATATCATTTATGGTTTCACTTTCAATGATATATGATACTTAGAAGACGCCAAGAGCAAACTAATTGGATAAGTCAGAATAGCGCAGTGCCCTTTTTTAGTAAATATGAAACTACGACTTCATCAGAAAGTATCAAGTATTTATAAAACACATTTGAAAAGGATTTAAGTAAGGTCAGAGGAAATAACAGCAATTAATTCACCAAAAAAACAAAACAGTTCCACTTCTGAATACAAACCTACGCCCTTGTATCCTAAGAAGGCTTAGCTCGTCTAGAATAATTCATGAACCCAAGCCTCACTACAAAAAGATGATGATACTTTAAAACTAGGATCAGACAAAACATGCCGTATGATGAAACTTTGCTGTTAAATAATGCAGCAACTAAAGATTATTTTAATATTTATTATTGATGAATGTGCCGAAAATGCCAATCAAAGTTTCAAGAGGCAGCTAACAGGGCCAAAGTGTAAAGAGAAGGGTAAAGGGGGGCTAAGTAATTCTGAGCTAACTCCTATCTTTTAGTAAATACATATGTCGATATATTCACACAATAGGCTTGTGCAGTTATTGAAATGTCCTTTTTAATGGCAGGAATCATTGAAGTAGGTGTTAGGCTACTAAAATAGGAACAGTTTGACGTCAATCCTAATCTTTAGTGGACACCTTTGTTTTTGGAGACTAGACATGAATACTTGTATTTGTTGCATTGTCCATGTTCTGCTTTTATTTGCCAAGCCTCTAAAAAAACCTACAGTGTTGTTAGACATCAGTTCCAGATTACAGCAGCCTTTTTGAGTTTTCCTGTATTTTTGAGGTAAAATAATGTAATTCTTCAAATAATTGAGGCAACCAATTAAATACATATTGCAATAGATCAGAATACTACATTTGAACTATAATGATGAGGTAAGATGGATGAGATGTGATGGTGAATGGAAAGCTAAAGCAGGAGGAAGAGGAGGAGCAGGCTGCCATGGAGAGGGGGGAGGAGATGCTACACCTGTTCACCACACTCACATTTCTCTGCCAGGATGTCAGCCCTCAGGACTCAAGTGTTAATTATGCAAATGTCTTAAATAGAAAGTGTTTCTATCTTTGTGTCTCTTTTATTTGAAAGCAGTGTCTCTGTATCACAGCATGATAACAGTACCCAGCCCTCAGATGAACTCACATGGAGAACTGGCGCAGTTTGGTCTCGATGCTGCGGTGCCTCATGCACATCCTGGTGAGGGCGGAGCCAATGTCCCGGGTTCCCCCTGGAAACAAGAGGGAGACAATCTGTCAGACCAATGTGTCAAACTGTGCCTGCTGCCTTCTGGAAGCTCTTTTTTAAGGGGTTAAAACGCTTAAAAATGAAACTGAGATTGATCAAATTGCACAATTAAAAAAAATGTTTTGCTTATATTCTGAAGTCTGAAATCCATGAAGCAAGCTAAAAAAAGGTTGTTTTTGAGGAGATTATTTTGTTGATATATAGAATAGAAATGTGTTTTCATGTTCCTAAAGAGGCCCCATTATGCTTTTATTGTGTTCCCTTTCCTGTAGTGTTATATATAGGTTTCTGTGCATGTAAATGGTCCTCAAAGGCTAAAATCCCTGTGTTCCCTCCAGAGGGAGTTTCTATCCCACACACTCCACCCCTGCCTGAAACACCTCCATTGGACTCCTTTGTTTACTCCTGTAACATAGTGACATCACTATGTAACACTCCATCTCCTATTGGCTAGTGCTCCAACACATTGTACTTCTTAGGCTAAGGTTCGGGACATCTCTAGGCGGTTAACCAATCCCAATAGGGCTGGCCAGCTAACCAATCATAGCAGACTGGGCTCTGGTTTCAGACAGAGGGTGAAAAGAGGTTCTGCAGCACAGGCAGTATGAGACAAATAAAGAGCTTTTTGAACATTAAAGCATGGAGACATGTCCCAGTAGACTAGAGGAACAAAACACAAATATGAACCTGAACATGAGCAGAATAGGGCCCCTTTAAATATTACTCCCTCTAAAATTCTATAACAGAGTGGAGAGAGACTTGTATACAAACTCGATAAACATTATCGTAGTCATTAGTTACAGGAGGAAAGAGGGACAACAAATAAGAGGTTTGATAACTTTAAGTAGAGGTTACAAATTAGGAGTTTGGATTTAGTTTCCAGAACAGCAGCCCTGAAGCTCACAGGGACTTCTAAATGTGTCCCTTGCCAAAGGACACTCCAGCAGGGTGGAGGCAGTGTGAGAGCTCCCGGAGGGGCCAGATGGTCGTCCTCTCTCTCCCACAGACAGAGCACTCCCTCCTGGGGGAAAGTTCACCGGACCTCAGCCTGTCATCCTGGAGGATCAACAACACCTCCAACACACTCCACTCCAACACACGCTAATGTTTGTGTTAACATACTTCTGAAGACCTTCATAACTGCATGCAAGGTTCATACAATCCAACCTATACATCGGGCCTATTCAACTGGCGGCCCGCGGGCCAGATGCGGCCCAGAACCGACTCCCGAGTGGCCCAGCCTCCCGTAGCCAAATTCCTACACTAGTACAGACCATGAACGCAACACTCCGCGTTGCATAGAAACCACCAAACCAGCACGTTTTTTGAAAGTACATCTAGTGGTGCTAGTAACGGTGGTCCTATGATAGCAACTCTAAAACATGTCTCTCTCAACTCTGAAGCGGAAACAGAGACAAAACGGTCATTGATCTTGTGGAGCAGATCCAAGTCAAGCTGGACCTTTTCGCGACCGACTTGAGCACGGGTCGGATACTGCATTTTCCGATGCTCCCCAAACACATCANAGGAGGAGGCGAGGGAGCTTTGTATAGCTATACACATAACATCAATGTAGGTTAACAAAAAAAAAAAAGAAAAAAATTCAGTTTACACCGATTTCACTCCTAATTCTATTTGTTCTTCATGAAATAACTATGTTAACCCCTTTACAAATCAAAACCTTTATTGACCACTAACTACCAAAAATTGCATTTCTATCCTGTTATTAATGCATTGAAATCGTGATTCAAATGGCCCGCAACGAACTTCCGGGAACTTTCTGAGTCTCTCTGAACCACGTGACGATCAAGCATTTTGGACATCCGCTGTCGCAACTCTTCTCTCTACATGGCGCTGGACCAGCCAATCAGAATTTACCTTCTCGAGTTCTCTGATTGGTTGGTTTTGTGGCACATTTGTAACGCTGTGACAACTTGAGCAAGCGCAGGCAAAGCTGAGCGCGCACAGGCTGGAGAGGTCGAGAGAGCGAGGGAGAGAGAGCGCGTGCAGCGGTCTGCTTGCGCACGGAGCAGGAGTTTTATGAGAGAAAATATATTTCTCTGTGCTCAAAAATGTTCAAGTGCGCGCTCCATCGCATTTTCTATGCTCAACATGTTTCATTGCGTGCTCAGGATAGAGGCACAAATATAACGCCATAGCCCAGGCCTATTCAACTGGCGGCCCGCGGGCCAGATACGGCCCAGAACCGACTCCCGAGTAGCCCAGCCGCCCGTAGCCAAATTCCTACACTAGTACAGACCATGAACGCAACACTCCGCGTTGCATAGAAACCACCAAACCACAACGAAGCACGTTTTTTGAAAGTGCATCTAGTGGTGCTAGTAACGGTGGTCCTATGATAGCAACTCTAAAACATGTCTCTCTCAACTCTGAAGCGTAAACAGAGACAAAACGGTCATTGATCTTGTGGAGCAGATCCAAGTCAAGCTGAACCTTTTCGCGACTGACTTGAGCACGGGACGGATGCTGGATTTTCCGACGCTCCCCAAACACATCACATCTCCGGCACAAATCACGGATGTGATGACAGATTTCATTGCGAGGTTGAAAGAGAACTTTGCCGGTCGATTGGATGGACTTGCTCTGCCCACAGAGGTGATGATGGGCTTTGCCAGAGACCCCTTCACTGTTGCAATAGAAGGGGACGTATCAACCAGAGCAAAGGAAGTGGTCCCCTGCATCGACAAGGGGAAATATACACTGGAACTTATTGACATGCAGCGCACTAACGGGCCAGCGAAGTTTTGGAGTGATGTCAAAAAACAGCAGTTCCCTAACGTTCAGAAAGTAGCGATCTGTGTGCTCAGTATGTTTGGATCAACATACACATGTGAATCAAGCTTTTCACACATGAACTCAATCAAAAGTAGCACTCGCTGCTCCCTGACTGACAGCACTCTTCACCAATGTCTTAGGATTGCATTGCATCCTATGAGCCAAAAATCACTGCTCTTGTTCAAAACTAAAAAAATGTCCCTTCTCCCATTGAGAAAGTCAGCGATGACAAATCACAAATGAGGTGATAGTAAGCACCTAGTTTACTATAGTAGACGTGTAGTGTAGTATTCATTCATATAGTTACCCGTATCCCTTGTTATGGGTTTGTGCACTGAAGGGTTTGACAGTTCTTTCTGTATTCATTTAAATGCACTTTGTAATGTGTCTGGGTCAAATGTGACCAAAACGTATGATTTTTTTGTTATTACTTGAAAAGTGAAAAAATAGTATTGCTACAGTACTACTCTTTGAGTTGCATTGGAGCTCTTTAGCTGTTTTTTTTGTATGTGAGGACATTTATTAAGACTGCTATTATTGTATTCAGTAAATGCACTTTGTGATGTGCCTGGGTCAAAAAAAATAACCTGAATATTTGACTCTTAAAGCAAACAAATGTAATGCTACAACTGTGCACTTTTTTTCAGATTCTGTTAAATTAATGCTAATTTGTTGTGTTTTTATGCACTTTTTGACCTACCTTTGTTAGATGAACAATGAATAAAAATTGCATGTTTTTCATCGCAGTATAATGTGTTGGTTTAAAATGTGTCATTACCCGCTTTTTACAGGCCGCTGAATGTCTGGCCCAGCTGAATTTTGTAGTTATAAAATCTGGCCCAACTGAATGTGTAATTGAATAGCCCTGCCATAGCCCTTATGCCAGTGTGGAAACATTTTTAGTTTATCCAGTTTATGTTTCAACAAGGTATCAGGTTGGCCATGACAATTCAGTGTATCTGTTTATGTTAATTATTTGATTAAAAAAAAAGAAAAAGTATTGAAAGGGATCTCAAATCATAATGTTTTGTAATTTGTAACACAGAAGTATTCAAGGAAATCCAAAAGTTATTGAAAACAATTCTTACATTGACTTTTTAAGACTTGAAAAGGCTTAAGACTTAAGACTACAACTGTAATAACTGAATTATATATAAGTAGGTAAACTGAGGTTATATTCAGCATGAGTAACCCTTGAAAATTATGAAATCTTTTATTTTGAGGTATTGAGCAATCCACAGCTAAAAAAGGTTTGTTGTCCACTTTGTTGTGTTGTAATGATATGCCAGAAGAGTTTTAATGTGATTTTCTGGTTTGATATTGATGTGTCTTGTCAGAACTTTTTACATAAAAACCCAACAGCTGTCTGCTGTGTAACTGACATGGCTATTTGTTTGAGTGGCAGATAAGCTAAGTTGAATTCCATACACACAAATATCCGTACAATACTCAGGGAAACTTTACAGTGTTAAAAAATAAGCCTCACGGCTTGGATTAACTCCGCACAAAAATGTCACCAGTGATTGACTTATTTTGTTTATCAAACTGATTATTCTATTTATCTCACACGGATTTCTGTATGGTGCTGTTTAATGTAATGTATTGTTTTTTTGTGGTTGCTTTTGAAACACAAATTCAAAAAAGTTTGGGGACCAACACTCCTCCGGTACGAACGAAAATATTCTCGTATCACTCGGAAATGTTCGGGTGATCACGTAGTTGCCGTCTTTCAAAAATAAAAGAATGAAGTCTCTGTGGGAGTGACCCCACTATAGGATGATCTGTATCTCGTGGGATGACAGCAGCATGTCATTATGACAGGTCGTCTCGGCTTCTCATAGGCCTGATCCTCATATTTTTACAGCTCCATACTCTGCCTCAAGTGGCCACATCACACGGATCATCTGCAGAGGCCTGGAAGAACGAGTAAACAGCCACCATGCTGTTTGTTGTTGCTTTTAAAATGCATCCTCCATTAGTGAGGCACAATACAACATCCCAGTAGCCCCCCACAAGTGTGTGTTTATATTCCACTTCCATTACGTCTCATTAATAAAGCATCCCCTACTCAGACAATGTTGAAGAGCGACCATTCTTTATCACGCTACATGGCTGGCATGTTGGATGATGGTCTGACTGTTCTGTTCTTGTTATGGTTGCACACTGAGACTGCTATACTGGATTCTAAAAGTACATTTATGTAACAAAATTACAAATTTCATCCCACCATTCTTCACTTATATCACCCTTAACTGCTAGCTTTCTGACTTTTTTCCCACTTTTCTGAGAATACGATCAAAACACATAAAATATTACTTTTAACGTCAAATCACCCTTATGTCCCTAAAGAGAGATATACAGAGTCTAAAAGACTTGGCCCTCCATGATTTAACACATTGACAATAGGGTGACCAGATGTCCCGCTTTGCGCGGGACTGCACAGTATTTTCACGACTTTTGGTGCGTCCCACAAATTGAGACGATGTCCCGCATATTTCATTTTGATTGGCTAAAACGCTTTTCTAAAATCAGCTTTATCCAATGGCTGTTGAGAAAGCAGGGAAGGCTATCATCACAGGGGTGTGTTTGCTGTCAATCAAACTGTAACACACGGCGGGCGCTGGTCAAGTGTTAACCAATGAGAGTAACTCACTCACACACGCCCCGCCGCGGCGCCGCCAAACAACAACAACGAAAGTCAGTCAATAACGCAGGCGACGCAGCAGGTTATGGAAAATGGAGGAAACTGAAACTACAGGCAAAAAGAAAAGAAGATGCACATACAACAAATACTGGGAAGACACTTACCCGTGGGTGAAGCCAGTGCAGATTTTTTTGCAATCTTTGCAAGAGTAATTTTTCAATTTCACATGGCGGTGAATACGACGTCAAAAGACACAGAGAATGCGATTCTCACAAGAAACGTGTCGCTCAAAAAGAGAAATCCCACTCTATGGAGACATTCCTACTCAAACCAAAAAATGATGGCCACTCAGACAAGGTAACAGCAGCAGAAATAACAAGTGTTTACCATACAGTGCAACACTCCCAATCATACCGGTCAAATGACTGTGGTAACAAGCTAGTGCCGACCATTTTTCCAGACTCTGAGATAGTAAAGAAAATGTCATGTGGTCGTACAAAAGCAGAGTCCATAATAACAGATGTGCTTGCCCCTGCCTCTGTGGAGAGTTGTTTGACAGAGTTAAAGACACGAGTGGTTCTAGGTGACAAAATAGCCCACACATTTTTATTTTATGTATTATTATGTTTTTGTTCCCTCCTGGCCAGTTTTAATTTGTATTTATGTTTTTATTTTATGTATAAATGTATGTTGTCCCT